GGGGGGGGGTTCTCTAGGATATGGGGGATCGCTTAGGACATATATAATGTGGGGGTTGGTCAGTTCTCATCCGTTCGATCAAAAGAGATCAATGGATGGGATTTGATAGTGTGAAACGATGTCGTTTTGATTTATTGGAGGATTTGGACCGGGTATTGGATTGGGCTACGGTGGAATTGGGGATGAAATTGATTGGGCTAATTAAAATTTGGCCCAATATATCAAGACCAAATACATTTTTCTATTTTTCTTTTCTTTGTTTTTCCTTTTTCTTTTTCTCTAATTAATTAAAATCCTAAATTAATCTAATTTGCAAAATTAAACTAATTATCTAATTTTAATATTTACAAAAATTAGTTAATCCTAATTTAATGAAGAGGAAATTACTAATCTAGCATAAAAAGCTAAAAATTAAAATGAATGATATTTTTATTATTTTCATTTTAATAAAGCAATTAATTAACCAATTAATCCTAAAACATGAACACAAAAATCTAATATGCAATGCATGATATAAAATTGTAAATAATTTGGAAAAATCTAGTTTTCTTTAATTTTGTAGGAGTATTTCTAATAGGGCAAAAATCACATGCTCACATCCAGAATAATAACCTTGTACATATCATGCCAAAACCTTTATTCCTCACATTTATAAGAAACCAACTCTGTGAATCTCCAATTCTTTGCAATAAATTGTCAATTATTTTATTTTAGTAGTTAAACATAGTTTATAATTAGTTAACTGTAACGACCTGGCCAGTCGTTTAATGAGTTACTGCTCCATTTTCCCTATTTCTACTTCTTTATGTTTTGTTCAGTCATATTGTATAGTATCGAGTTGGTTGGTTCGAGTTCGAAAAGGTTTTGGTGAGGTTTGAGACACTTAGTCTCTTAAGTTGGTCTTTTAGTTGGAAAAGTCAACCGGAAGTTGACTTGTGATCAAACGGACTCAGAATTCTGTTTTTATTATTCGGAGAACTTCGGAAGGTGATTTGGGACTTAGGAGCGTGATCGAAATGTGTTTTGCAGGTCCGGAGTAGATTTAGGCTTGAATTGGCGAAAATGGATTTTTGGCATTTTTTTGTTGATAGTGGAGATTTTGATATAGGGGTAGGAATGGAATTCAGGAAGTGAGAGTAGGTCCGTTGAGTCATTTGTGACGTGTGTGCAAAATTTCAGGTCATTCAGACGAGGTTTGATAGACGTTTTGATCAAAAGCAGAATTCGGAAGTTTTTGGAACCTTAGGCTTGAATCCGATGTTATTTTGTTGATTTGATGCTGTTTTAGGTGATTCGAAGTTTGGTATAAGTTTGGATAGTGGTATATGAGTTGTTTGTGCTTTTGATTGAGGTCCCCGGGGGCCTCGGGATGATTTCGGGTAGTTGACGGGAAGTTTGGAGTTGGAAATTCGCAGCTAAAGCTGCTGAAGTTCCTGTCATAACCGCATCTGCGGCTTGGGGACTGCAGGTGCAGGACCGTAGAAGCGGACTATTAGCCGCATATGCGGAATTGGGTGTGAAGAGCTGAAGGCGCAGGTGCGGAAATTGGGTCGCACTTGCGAGACCGCAGGTGCGGAAGTTGGGAAAATGGGCCGCAGGTGCGAAAACCCTGGGCCAGAAAGTATATAAGGTTCCCTTCGTGATTTTTGAGTGGGTTTTCACCATTTTCATGTGGGTTTGAGCTTGGGAGAGCAATTTGAAGAGAGAATTCAAGAGGGTTTCGTGGAGCTAAGATTTTTGTACCCTAAACTCTTTTCTATGATGGTTTTTGACTGATTAAACTTGAAATCTATGGAAAATTAGTAGCAAAATTGGGGGTTTAGGGCTTGGAAATTGGAGACCTTAATTTAGGGATTTGAGGGGTCATTTGTGGTCAAATTTTGGAATTTTTGGTATGTATGAACTCGTGGGAGGATAAGGAGTTTATCAATGTAATTTTTATCGGATTCCGAGACGTGGTTCCGGGGTTGGGTTTGGCCAATTTTGGGATTTATGTTGTAATTTGATTATTTTCGCATGAGCTTCGTTCCCTTAGCATATTTTGACATCATGATTCTGATTTTGGATAGATTCGACGCGAGTTGAGGCCGAATCCAAAGGCAAGGGCGTCGCGGAGTAGTATTTCGTCCGGTTTGAGGTAAGTAACCATTGTAAATCTGGACCTGAGGGTATGAAACCCCAGTATTTCGTATTGTTCTGATAAATGAGGTGACGCACATGCTAGGTGACGAACGTGTGGACGTGCACCGATAGGGATTGTGACATGGTCCGTCTCGTAGCGACTATTAAGCCGCATATTTTGATTTAAAATTTTATGATATTCCATGTTTTAGAGTTTGATACTATATGTTGGGTTGTACGTCATGTTTGGGGCCTTGTGCCGACCTGCTTAGACCCTTAGAGGTATTTTTACTACTTTCCTCTCTCTATTTGATTTGAAAGCATATCCTCAGTCATGTTTTACCTGTTATTTGTTTAAAACCGGTTTCATCACTTTATTTCTTATATATGAAAACTGTTTGGGCTGAGTTCCCTGATTTTTATTAAGATACCCGAGTGTCGAGAGGTGAATTACTGAGAGAGGTCTAGGACCTAATGGTGAGGATTATATATCTATTATGAATCGGGCTTCACGCCGCAACAACATTATATATATGGATCGGACTGCACGCCGTAGCGATATACATATGGATCGGTCTACACGCCGCAACGATATATATTGGATCGAGCTGCGCGCCAGAGCGATATAACGCTTGGGCTGTAGGATCCCCTCCGGAGTCTGCACACCCCCAGTGAGCGTAGTCGACTATAAACTATGGATCGGGTTGCACGCCGCAGTGATTATTATGATTATTATTGTTATGAGATATTATTCAGCCAGAGTGTTGAGTGTGAGTACTGTTTGACGAGAGCTGAGTCACGAGTGACTGAGAGGCTTGCCCGAGAGGCTATATTTATGAGTGATACCTTGCTCGAGGGGTTTGTTTATGACTTTTGTTGCTTTCACTCTTCTTTTATACCAAGCCTCTGTTGAAAAACGTTTTCAAAGGGTTTGTAATTAAAACTGTAGTTTTACGAGATGACTGTCTTTTAAATTGCAGAATTTGACTTGATATTTCTGTTGAGACTTATTATATGATTTTAACTGCTCGTCACTGCACTCAAACCTTATTTACTTTAGTTACTTACTGAGTTGGCGTACTCACGTTACTCCTTGCACCTTGTGTGCAGATCCAGGTGCCCGAGCATCAGAGTGAGAGCTTCCAGTACTCTCAGAGCTTTACCGGAGACTGCAAGGTAGCTGCACGGCGTTCGCAGCCTTGCTTTCCTCCTTCCTATCTTAGTATTCTGTTATTTCATACTTATGATGTATTATTCAGTTAGTTTGAGTTGTATTTAGAGGATCTTGAGTAGTGACACCGGATTTGTTGGACTGTGTTGGTATTTTGTACTAGTTTTTCGCATATTTTGTTTTATTCATCTATTTCATATGACGAATTTGAGAATTATCCGATATTAGAAAATGATTTTTATAAAAGATTTTGTCGCGGTAAATGTTTGGTTGGCTTGCCTAATACTGTGATAGGCGCCATCACGACTGTGGTATTTGGGGTCGTGATATTAACTCAAGTGTTGATCCTCCTGAATAGCAATTAAATTATAAATTACTC